TGATCGTGAATATAGGCCGAGATGCTTTGGTCAGGAATATAGGTCGATAGCTGGTTATGAACAACATTTTTGCAAAAAAATTGGGGGAGGGGGGCGGGTCGACCTATATTCGAATAAATACGGTAGTCACTATGTATGTGGAAGACATGGCACAAAAAAGTTTCTCCATCTCATGCATAGTATAGAGGAACAACTTTTTGCCGGTTTGGTGCACAGTCCTTCCTTGAGTGTAGCCGAGATTTTTACTCAAGCGGAAGCGAGCAAGTATTGCACCGACGGTCTGCCCTGTTTGTCAAGTGAATGCCGCAACAACTCTTGAACGTTTCACCACCTCTGGGAGAAAAAGCACCAAATGGATTCGCGAAATCGTCTGCTCTGTAGTAGCGAATAAATGGAAATGTTAAAAGGGACAAGACCAACCAAGGCTGGCTCCATCACCAGTGTCATCCGCGACGAGGTCCAGCAGGTGCTGCACGCCTATTGTTTCCAACCGATGTCTGTTCACGTGGAAACGGCTCCTGTGTCTACGGATAGTCGCCGCCATACATACACGGAAGCTTTGCGTACTGCCACGCCTCTTTCCAGCCCAAGAGTCCAGACCCAGAGAATAACACACAACGTGATCCATACAATGCCGTGCGTCCCAATCCAGACAATGATGTTGCCAGTCGCGATTCAGTCATCCCACGCTAGTTTGGACTTCGATGGTCCCTTAGCACCAATGCGCAAGTCTGACCTCTGCTATGTGTTGGACAGACGACCCCTCCGCTACTATTGCAGTGAGGCTGGTTACTTTTACCGCAAATCTCTATACCGACAGCTTGGACTGAACGGTTTTCCCATTTATCTGCTTCATCTCCAAATTGTTCAAGGGCAAAGAGAAATTGAAGAGCATCTCACCCAGCAGTACACACCCTTTACATGGCGACTATTGCAGTCACCATCTCCGCGGAGACCCGTAGCCACTGGGCCGCGTTTCGAGTGGAAGGCATGGGGAAGCTCCCCAAGCTCTTGTCGGAAATACTGGAGGCAGCGGCCTTCAGGGGCAGGTCGCCGGCACTCAAAGTGCGGAAGACCTCCCATCGACACTAGCACGCAACGCCGAAAACATCTCGTCAGAGTCAGAGCGAGGTGATGATGATATATGGTGTTTTTTGGTGCAAGGGCCATTTGATGGCCAAAGAGCGCTAGTTCATGGGACAAGGAATGTGGACAATGATTGTGATTAGCGGCTGTATAAGGGCCATAAAATTCCTCGCAGTAAAGCGGGTAAAACCATACAAGTAATAAAATCATGACCATGTTGTGAAAGGTGTGTGTGGTGTGAATAGGTGATGAAAGTTGGTGATAATAAAAGACGATGGTGGATATGTATGGCATTAGCACAAGTGCCTCACTCGTTCATACCCTTGCGTCTAAGGGCCGTGAGGCAAGTGCTTTCTTGTGTAGCCACCGCAGCGAAAACCTCTCAGGAGAGGTCGTACTACGGAATGCCGGGGAATATGATATAAAAACTATGAATTTCTCTTAAAAACGTGAATAATGACTTATGACTAAAAAGCGGTTCCCTACCGACGAACATTGCAGGGTGCAAAGGTATATGTTGTCGGTAGAGTAATGGAAAATGTTGTTTTCTTATAGTGTCCAATTGTTTGCACTGAATTGAAATGTGAAGGACTGTTAATCCTTCACCACATCTGTCACACAATGGTGGATCCCCACCGGACAAAAGATGTGTGTGTGTCGTGTATGTGTGTCCTATCCTCAGTCTTGTAAGTATTACCTCTGTATGACGCGATTTCGATACGGGCAACCAATGACCAAGGTGTGGCTTAACAATGTGTAGTTTGTGTTGTGTGTGTGTATCCCACTTGTTCTGCCAGTAGTCCCTGAGATTTCGTTTGAGAGACGGCTTAAGATCAAGGGCCGGGATTGATATGAGTGTAGGGCCAGTGCTTTTGTGGACGGATGCAGCGAGCTGATCCGCCCTCACGTTGCCTTGAATCTCACGGTGCCCTGGCACCCAGCACACTACAACATGTTGTTTGAGTGTGTAGAGTGTGCACAAAATGGAGAGTCAGAGCGAGGTACCGAAGAGATTATAAAGGGTGCTTACCAGTGCAAACGACAGGGCAGGAGGGGACAGGAGAAGAGACGAGACAGAGCGCTGAACGACATGAGGCTAATGTCGTTCAGCGCTCTGTCTCGTCTCTTCTCCTGTCCCCTCCTGCCCTGTCGTTTGCACTGGTAAGCACCCTTTATAATGTTATACCAACGCGCCCAATCTCACTGTCTACCGAAGAGACCCCCACATCCACATCTGAACACAGTGCCCCTTGACATACCCATGCTCATTGACGATTTTCAGGTCAGTGCCTTAGTGGACCCTGGTGCGGACTATTCGATTATTAGCGGGAAGCTAGCGAAAGATCCCAAGAAAGTGATAAGACGTGGAACAGAACTCGTACTGTAGTCACCTGCCTCGTTCTTCGCTACTATTTTCGTCAGCTGATTATCGGCATGGACTTCCTTCAAGAATACGGCGCGATCATAAATCACCATGAACGCATTGTGACCTTCTCGACATAATGTGCAACAGATTGAGACGCTGATAACTATCGTAGACTTGCACTACGTGTTCGACTTGCACTACGTGTTCCCGACGACAGTGTGAATCTGCCTCCTCGAGCTACCGTTTCCATGAAAGTCACTTGCAAAGACCTTGATTGATTGATTGATATGTGGGGTTTAACGTCCCAAAACCACTATATGATTATGAGAGACGCCGTAGTGGAGGGCTCCGGAAATTTAGACCACCTGGGGATCTTTAACGTGCACCCAAATCTGAGCACACGGGCCTACAACATTTCCGCCTCCATCGGAAATGCAGCCGCCGCAGCCGGGATTCGAACCCGCGCCCTGCGGGTCAGCAGCCGAGTACCTTAGCCATTAGACCACCGCGGCGGGGAGCAAAGACCTTCAAGATAGTGACGTGGTGACCGAAAGCAACTCATCACTTCTGCTGCTCCAACCAAGGTGTATGCGCAGCTCGGAGTGTTGTGCATGTCCGTAACCATCTGTCACAGATACTCATTATGAATTTTAACTACAAACACCGGTATTAGTTTACCCGAACCACTGTAGCCTAAAGAGACCCTGTTGCCGACGTCACAGAGTGCTTCGCGTCCGAGGACGTGAGTGATGATGAAACATGTCTAAACCACATCGAACTTAATTAGACGCTGTCAGACGAGAGGAAGGGGAACTTCATGACCTTATAAGGGAGTTTCAATCTTGCTTCGCCTCTTCCTCTGAAATCTGTCAAACACATCTGACGAAGCACCAAATTATTACGGATGATGACGTCCACCCTATCTGGCAGCAGCTTTATCGCGTTTTCACCCAAAGAACGTGAGGGTATTTAGACACAAGTAGAGGAGATGCTCGATGATGAAGTTATTCAACCATCCAGCGGCCCTAGGTCCTCGCCAGTCGTTCTGGTGAAAAAAAAAAAAAAAGACTGAACGCTACGATCCTGTATTGACTACAGGAATCTAAATAGTGCAGGAGTTTGATACACAGATGCACTGGTCCCATACTTTTGCATGGGAAATTGAAAAGGATTCTTCAACTGTTCGATATAGCCGATGATCCCACATATCCAAGTGTGATATATCCGGAATGGACTGTACAATGCACGATTTAACATTGTTTCCATCCCCAACAGCACCGGCTATCACACCGAAATAATTTGTTTCTTGAAGAACAGGGGTGACGAGTGGGTTAATTTTATGAGTAGTGCTTTAGTGGTGTGTGCTTTCGTGGTGCATTTCAGTGGACCAATACGTCAGCCCTTAGAATCTGCCCGGCGATTGCCTCCCCAATACTGGAATCGATGAGACGAGTTGAATGGGCAGCATTCATGGAGAGTATTGAGGTCAACAGTTGTGGGGGTGCCGACAACCCTGTAAAGTTGTTTGCATTGTGTGGCGGACGTGTTTCGCCCAAAAGCCGCGTTTCGGGGGAGACAACTATTAAGCGATAGGTGGCGTGTTGGCGAGTGGTGATCACCCCTATCATCGTGGTTGGCAGAGTGGTGGCGCCAACAGTGACCCCTGGTGGAAGGCAAGCCTTGGTGATGGCCGAGTTGAGCGAATCTCTTCTGCACCTGGCAGTTGCCGCGAACGGTGGTCTCTAGCGTGGGTCCCCGGTGCGTGGCACCACGAGCTGCGCGTCGGGGGCCCTCGTGATAAGTCAAGCACTGGCGACGCCGCCTTGGTTGTGTTATTGTGTTTGTCATGGAGTGCATGATAATATTGTGTAAGGATGTCCTAGCGTGTTGATAACGACTGATGTATTGATTCGTCGGATGATATCGTCGTTCTAAATTAGTTACATAAAAATGTTTTTGCTTGGTTTGTTCCGACCGCATTTGCTGTGTCCGTTGATTCCAAGAGCGCGGTGGCACTCACCACGTCGAGACCCCACACTGTACGAAAAATTGGCACTCCCATGGCAAACTTTTCATAAGTGGAATAATGGGTACTTTTAATGAAGATTTAAATGTTGCACCTGTGATGTTCAACTATAAAAAACACTATTTGCAGCCTGGTTCGAGCCAAGCCCCTTGTACCAATGCGTGTGTAGAAGTTCTCTGAAGATGAGTAGTGATGCCAGAGCAAGCCCGAGCTGAACTAGGCTCAAGATGCCACTTCGGCGGCATGCAACAAGTTGCACCTCGTCTTTTATATAGCAGCCATGGCATCAATGACAGTATCAAATAAATCACTTCTTAGAGGTCGTGAACAACCTACTAAAAATATTAAACACTTATATAAAAGATCCACTTAGCACTTGAACAAGGTCAACTGATGCATTATTAAATTCAAGAAACTTGCCTTACAACAGACTGAAATCTCCCCAATCAAGATCTCTTGTAATAAATGGATTCTATATTACATCACTATAAGAAAGTGTGAGTGTGCGAATATTTCTCTCACCTTCAATTTCTCAGAGCTTTGGCTTAGTTCATCAATAGTCAAAGGAACATCGGGAATAGTGTCCAATGAAGCATCTCCACAATTTTCCAGGAAGTCTTTATAGGTGTTTGTCAGTAGTTCTAAGGCAGCCTGAGGAAAACAAAAATTTTGTATAAACTTTATAGGACAAGGACCAAGGACGAGCAAGGAGGGCCAAGTAATGATATTGCCTAGACAAAAGTGCTATCAGCAATAAAGTTAATGCACAATGTGGCTGTATAAAGAGCTAAATATAGTCATTTTAATGTGCTATCAAACTATTAAAAAAATGTGTAGTTGATTATGCTACAAGAATGAAAAACAGAACAACACAGGAGGGCCAAGAAGATGAAAGAAATAACTGCACTACTTGGTGCACGTAAAACCAGGCACATACGCAAGCACCAATAAGAGTCTACAGATTATTTTCCTTAAGACATCTGGGCGTTACCACATTGGGATTTTTTTTCTTACTTTTGTATACTGCGACGTGAATTAGTAAAGCTGTGAAACATCAGATGCACAAACCCAGCTGTTCTTGTGTGTATGCGTCTAATGTAACACTGTTCGTTTAGTTGTTAAAGATACACAATACAAAGGTAAACAGTGCAATTTAGCAGCACTAAAACCCTGTCCACAAAAATAGACTATATGGTAGCAACAGCACTACATTACCAAGGAGGGCCCTTCACCACAAGAACCTAAATACAGTCGACTCTTGTTAATTCAAACTCGAAAGGACATCCGAATTTCGTTCAAAACATAAAGAAGTTTGAAATATCAAGTTCTCAAATAGATGACTCTTCATGAGGTCACACCAGACATTATGATTAGCCACTGATTTTATCACATTAAGAAGTTTTTAAAATGTTTTAAGCCCTAACTGCACGCAGCAAACAGAAAGCAGGCGTGTAAATTTTACAAGTTTATTGGCCATTTACTGCTATCAGTGATCAGACCTTTTGAAGAAATCGTGAATTGCTAACTGCTTCTTTGTTATAGGTATGTGCCCTCAGCACGGAGCTCACTATACCAGTTGAGAAGCATCAAAGTTTACCACGCGTGTGCTTCATTTCAAACATTTGTTTACTTGCAAAGCTTTTTTCCATGAAAGCCACAGGTGCTTATTTTCATTTTAGGTCTGTTAGGATCATAAAGTACCCAAATTTTCAAACATTAGTGGGAAAGCAGCGGATATTTTCTGGTATGGACCGGCCAAAAATAAAAAAACAACAGATTGATGAAGTTTAAATTAAAAGGCTTTTAAATACATTGAAAGAATAGAGAGCCCATCAAAAAATTGAACTTTGTTTGAATTAACCAAAAGTATGAATTATCAAAGTTTGAATTATCAGGAGTCTACGGCACAGTGCTCTAGTCTACTGTACAGGAGCTACAATAGTGGCAACGGTCTCCAACGATAGAAAATGTGCTATTTTCAATATTGGTGACATTTATTCAAAATCATTAAAAGGCTAGAAGTGTTTTGGGGCTACAAAATGGTTACACATGAAGAAACATTATTGGACAGAGGAAAAAGTGACGTGTAAGTTATTAACGGTTTTCCTGAGACTGATGCTTTACTGCAGACTAGCAGTACACTCAAAATTCAACCAATTCACCATGCAAAAGATAAGAGCTGTTTATTGCTTTTGAAACAGATATACCACAAATTTAAGTTATGAGAGGGCACATTGAAATGATGGAGAAGTGGCAAACAGCACGACACGAGATCAATACCACAGGAAACACACGAAACAAACTACTAATTTGAAAAACTACCCTAATAACAGAAATACGACTTAGAATCAGCAGCAAAAAGCAAGACTGCTGGTATCTGCATAGGACAAAGTATTCTGCTATAAGAAAAAATAGTTAAAACTCAACATGTATAATGAAATAATTAACTTTTTCTGACATGTTCAGAGAACACATTATATTCTAACCAAAATATAAAGAAACATATTTACGTATCTGCAATTCGAATGAACGGCAATAAGTATCTTCTATTTCAATAAATTACTTGCATATTAATTTGTTGCAAGATTAAATAAATTAAATCTCATGCAGGCACCAGTGGTAAAACGGTTGCGCTATTGTACATACATCTCTTTTTTTTTTTTTTTTCTTTCGTGCTTACAGACACCTTTTCAAATTGTGTGCTACATGCCAGTCGTATTCTACTACTGAGCCACGCCAGTGATTAGGACCTGTTCGCAAACTAGCCTTAGGCAGGCTTGATGTCGGGAAAGGAATCGCGTTAATACAAGTAATAAAGCGTTTTAGAACAGCAAAAGAACAACCAGGCATCACACAATGCGAATAGCTTAACAAGTGGGTTGTCCAATGCTCCAACCCATTACAAAAGCTTGTTTTTGATCACCTATTAACTGTGGTGCATACCCACTTCAGGCCTAACTCCTCATCCTCGTCAGCCACTGCATGAACAATTGGCACTAACTTCCTTGTATATGTTTAGCGAATACAACGCTTCTCAGAAGAATGACGAAGGATACCATAAGGAATGCCGGCCTACTACACAGAAATTATTATTAATGCTGTAGTGGGTACGCAGCAAGTATGATTGCAGTAGTAAACCAATGAGTATTTACAAAAGGCTCTGAAAGGCCGCTCTTTTAGTTTTCGCTAATACTGTGCTGCACCGCAGGCTGTTGTGACTGGCGCCGGAGCTGACGTGGGAGCAACGCTCTTTAGATCTTCAAACAAGTAGCAGACAGGCCGGCTGCCTATGACCGCCAGGCATTGTCCCTCCTAGCCGGAGGGTGAGACGTCAAGTCGCCACGACGCCGTAAGCTGTTCGGGAGACGACAACGAGTAGAGCAACATTATGATTAGGCATTGATTTCATCAGATTCATAAATTTTTTAAGTGTTTTTAATCCCCAACTGCACACAATTGACAGAGTCCATAAATGTAAGGTCCACAAGCTTATCGGCCATATACCGTTGATCAGAACTTTTAAATAAATCGTCAATTGCCAACAGCTTCTTCGCTATATGTGTCTTCAGCATAAAACTCTCTATACCAGCTGAGAGGCATCACAGTTCACCATGCATGTGCGTTTCAAACATTTGTTTACTAGCAAAGCCTTTTTCTTTAAAGGACTGAGGCACTTATTTTTCATTTTTAGACTGTTGAAATTATAAAAGCATGCAAATTTTTAAATAATAGTGGGAAAAGCAGATATTTTCTGGTATAGAATCTCGAAAAGTATGAATTGACTGAATGATAGAGTTTGAATTAAGATGCTTTTAAATACATTGAAAGAATAGAGGGCCAACCAAAAAATTGAATTTTGTTCGAATTAACCAAAAGTCCAAATTATCAGAGTTTGAATTATCGCTAGTCTACTGTAGTCAGATTCGCACTATATGATGCCCATGATTGTTCACATGCTCTCCTTTGCGGTTGCAAAAGTGAGGAAAGCATCCAGGTGCACCCTTTTCCTCAGCTGCTGCCAGAGAAGGAAATGCTCCACTATGGAAACTACTTGCACAGTTCCGAACATTAAAAGTTCATTGACTCATCTATGTGAATGCTAGCAGAAATTGCTTCAATTTATTGCCTCGCTCTTATTTTGGTGCAGCAATGGAAGTTCATGCAATAAAAACTGAAGACAGCAATCATGCTTTTTTATATTCAGGTTAAGAATGAAAGATGTTCCAAAGGCACAACATATTAAAAAACTAAATGTTTCATTACATTGAGGTTAATCTGTAAAATATCAGCAAGCACCAAGGGTTCAAACAGAAGCTCACTTTTATCTTCGGAACGTTACTACTGTTTGTCTGGCCAGAAGCTTTTACAGCAGCTTCGTGACCTTGCAGCAGCTCCCAAAGTTTTACAGACGCAGCATCCCGCTCAGCTCTAAGTGGAGTCAACTGGTCCTGCAAAACAAACAAAGCAAGAGCGGATCACATTTAATAATTACTTTCTTCTAAGCAATACAGAAAAATTATTGAATTTAGTTTATACAGTCTGCCAGCATTAAACAGGCATTATTTTTGTGGCCAAAATAGCCTGCAGTAGTGATTCCTGTGAACATGCGTATATCATCTGCATTCACTCACTTGGCAAGGCTGTGGTATTCTCTCTTGCGCCCCACCCAAGTCAATGCCACATTTACAAAGCCTTTCAGAGATATTAACACAATTACTGCATTTACTCGCATAATAGGCGCACTTTTTTTTTCCCAGAAAATTAGGCACCAACTCTAGGCATCTAATATGCGGGGTGAAATTCTTGAAAATTTAATTTCCAAGGACAGCATAGACTCCTGATAACATAAGTCGCCAAAGTGACGACTATCCGCACTGGAGCTGAAACAACCTTCTTTATAGGCTACACTAGCACAAAATGCATTAAGCATGCCGCCTCTTGTGTCCAAGAATCAAGGCATGCGAAGCAGTGTGCTTACACGCATTCAAATTTCACAAAATTGACATCGAAAGACCCGCACTGCCAACAAAAATAAAAGCGTCAAAAAAGGAGAGTGAGAGAGAGGGGGTAGAGAAAGAAAGCAAAAAAAAGTGAAAATTGGCCCCGTATCTACATGTTACACCACAAATGTCGTCGAAAGACGATAAGTTTGTGTCTGGGGAGAGTGAACAAAATGTTTATTTGATGTTCGGAGCAAGAAAATCGGTGAATGGTATTCTAGAGGCGCTGCGTTAGAGTGCCTCGAGCGTGCAGCGGAGACGAACGAGCGCATCAAGTCACGTCACGCGCGAGACATGAGCGCTATCTGGCCGTTATACTGGAAAACGGGCGCGGGCCGTGCGCCTGTCTCTGAGGTGATAAGGTGTAGTAGAACTCAAAGCGACAGGTAGGTGCCACCACCGTGTCGTCTTAGCAAAGCGTTGGAAACACTTGCCGTTCCGTGCAAGTGTTCCATGGCCAGCGCAGCGTTATAAAGGCTAAGATCTTTAAAATGACTTATGTATGCCTTTTCTAGTAAAAATACACATAGATAATATAGACGTGTTGTTATGGTGCCTCAGATATGCAAAATAATTGCTTTTTAATTGACAATCGCACAAGTATGAACGCTGAATCTTGAGCAATATCGGTGGGCACTGCGGATTGGGTCAGCCGTTTGGAGTATTGTTTGGTCACTTTGATGCCGTTTAGGGTACCGTTAAGGGAGGACAAACAGACAAATGTACAGACAGATAGACAGACCAAAATTTTTGCGTCGAAGGTCCCCAAGAAAGACAATCATCTTTAAAATAAAAACACCATCGCGGAAATCCGCTGATTATGTTTCAGGCCACCTAGATTATACGCATTATCACGACTAAAAATTTTGTGCACGGAACGGTACCGATCGTTCGATTTCACAAGCTCACACCCAATATCCAAAGACACACAAATGAATTGCAAACTACCATTAGAGTATTACAAGCACGACCCATGCACCCCTTTCCTTCAAACAGAGCCACCCAAAAGAGTTACGTCAGTTTTGTACAAAACTGCAACTTTGCTCGTCCGCAATCTGATTCAGCTTAGACTACACTGATTAAGTCGGAGACACTAATTAAGCTACGATTCGGCATGGTTCGGCATGCCGCCATGAAAGTTTGTACAAGACAACATGAAGATTGTGCGTCCAAAAGATCGCACTCAAGCACTGATCCAGGAATAGTGTGCACGCAGACAAGCAGTAAAAAGTGTTCTGAACAGATGTGTTGTCTGCAAGAGGCATAACTCCAGACCAGCGACTCAAGACATACCTCCACTTCCGGCAGACAGAGTCACTGAAGCAGAGCCATTCAAAGTTACAGGAGTTGACTTCACAGGACCTCTTTACGCAAAGGACAAGTACCAGATTGTGAAGCAATAGCTACTGATATTCACCTACGCGGTAACAAGAGGAGTACACTTGGAAGTTACCAACGATTTGTCATCGTCGAGTTTTCTACAAGCATTTCGACGATTTGCAGCTCGACGGGGAATACCAGCAGTAATATACTCGTACAATGCCAAAACATTTATATAAAGGAAAGAAAATCAACAGAATGCTCGAAACAATTAAAAGCGAGGTCTTAAAGAATTACTGCAGTGGCCAACAAGTTCAATGGAAAACGATAGCCGAGTGCGCGCCATGGTGGGGAGGATTTTACGAGCGCCTCATAAGAAGCTTGAAGACGTCATGGCGAAAAATAATATCGAAAAGCACAGATTCAGTAGAGGAGCTACGCACTATTGTAGCAGAAGTTGAAGGAACACTCAACAATCGACCATTGACTTACGTACATGGAGAACCTGACGAGCCGATGCCACTAACGCCGGCAGACATCATAGGTGGACGGCGACAGCTTCAAGACGGACAAACAAGACTGTACAACGGTGACATTGAAGACGCATGGCGACGCAGATGCAAACTCGTGCGCGCTTGGTGGAAAAGATGGCATCAAGAATATATCAAGGAAATAGGAGCTACGGTCAAAGCCAAGACACGGCAAGCAAAACCACTCTCACAGGGTGACATCGTGTTGGTTGAGGACAAGGCTCCAAGAACATTTTGGAAAATGTGCCGGATTGAAAAACTCTACCCTGGGCGAGACGGATTAACAAGAGCTTGTCTACTTCACACAGGCAAAAAAGAGCTTCTAAGAAGATCGGTGAACCACTTATACCCAATGGAAGGTCGTTTCAAATAGCCCGCAAGAGCTTATCACATTTCAACTTGGGCGGGCGGGAGCCTATTAAATATCATCATCAAACGCCGGAAGAAGACGAAAGAAGACTGCTGCCTAGAGCGAGCGCGCGCTACTTCACTTCTTCTAATAAACCGTATTCGTTCGAAGCAGTCCCTGGTCTCGATCGTCTTAATAACGCCGACCCCATTTTCCGCTCCTACAGCACCTCTGAGCAGACCTCGCTACGACCGGTCACCGTCCCCTGCTCGTCGTCAGTCCCAGTCGCCCCCACAACGCTAACCTTCGCCGCCGACTTGGAAAAGTTGTCACACCCGCCCTCAACCGTGCTGTATGAGTCGCCGATGGAGGAACTGCCGCAATTCTTGGCATGTGCTCTGCGCGAGTGTCTATTGGGGAGAGAAGCACTGTCGTTCTTTTCGCCGTTATCGAACATTGCCCTCATGAACTCATACTCGGTATGGATTTTCTAGCCACGCACTCTGCCCTCATAGACTGTTCAGCTGGCTCCCTCCATCTCGATTTACCCCTCTTTTCCGACCCGACCAGCCCACCGCAAACCAGCCTCTGCTGCATTGATTTCACGCGCCTCCCTCCTAACTCTGTCACACATGTCGACTTATCCTCCACGCCGCCAGTACCTGATAGTGATTACATGGTGGCCCCGATTCCTGCAGTGATGCTTACGCATGGGGTTGCTGTGCCGCATATGATTCTGACAATTAAGAGAAACCGCACCTTCCTTCCACTGGTCAACTTTTCACTCACCACCCAAGTTCTGCCACGGGGTATCTCCCTGGCCAAAATTACTGCTCTCCAAGATTACCATGTCGAGCCCTTCAGAGTTGACGATTGCTGCAGCTCAGTCAGTGGTTCCACTCCATCATGTTCTTGGGGCGCCGACATCAAGCGAATGGTGTCATCGAACCTCACGTCTGAGCAAGCTGCAGCGCTTTGCCACGTTCTTGAGGGTTATCGTAGCATTTTCGACTTTGCCAGCAACTCTTTGGGCGAAACGACTATTGTCACCCATCGCATAAATACTGGCCATGCAACCCCCATTCACCGACGCCCCTACCGCGTGTCGGCGTCGGAGCGTGCAATATTACAACATGAAGTCGGCAAAATGCTTGCGAAAAACATTATCGAGCCTTCATGCAGCCCCTGGGCTTCTCCAGTCGTCCTTGTTAAAAAGAAAGATGAAACATGGCGCTTTTGTGTCGATTACCGTCACCTTAACAAAATTACCAAAAAGCAAGTTTATCCTTTACCTCGCTTCGACGACGCCCTCGACTGCCTGTACGGTGCCACTTATTTTTCAACTATTGACCTTCGGTCAGGGTACTGGCAGATAGCCGTCGACGAGATGAACCGCGAGAAGACCGCATTCATCACTCCTGATGGTCTTTATCAGTTTAAGGTGATGCCCTTTGGACTCTGCAATGCACCAGCCACATTTGAAAAAATGATGGACTCATTGCTCCAAGAGTGAAATGGTCCACCTGCTTGTATTACCTTGACGATGTTATTGTCTTTTCGCCCACATTCGACTCGCATCTTGATCGTGTGTCAGCTATTCTGGACGTTTTTCGTCGAGCCGGACTCCAGCTTAACGCCTTCAAGTGCGCTTCGCTCGTCGTCAAATTTCCGTGCTCGGTCACCTTGTTGATGCTCAAGGCGTGCGTCCAGACCCAGAGAAAATTCGCGCAGTCACGAACTTTCCCGTTCCGAAGACCACAAAGGATGTCCGCAGTTTTGTGGGGTTGTGCTCATATTTCAGACGCTTTGTTAAGGACTTTGCGACCATTGCACGCCCACTCACAGACCTCTTGAAGAAAGACGCCTCGTTTACCTGGGGCCATGACCAAGCGTCATCGTTTTCACAACTTACGACATTGCTTACAACGCCACCAATCTTGGCTCACTTTGATCCATTAGCCCCAACAGAGGTTCACACGGACGCCAGTGGACACGGCATAGGAGCTGTGCTATTGCAGCAACAACGCGGACACGACCGTGTTATAGCCTACGCAAGTTGACGGCTATCTCCAGCCGAGCGCAACTATTCCATCATGGAGCGCGAGTGTCTCGCCCTTGTATGGGCAGTCGCCAAGTTTCGCCCATACCTGTACGGGCGCTCATTCCGTGTTGTCACGGATCATCACGCGCTCTGCTGGCTAGCCTCCCTGAAGGACCCCACGGGACGTCTCGCTCGTTGGGCTCTACGC